TGTAGAAAAAGAAGGAAACAAAGACAACGATAAGAAACTAGGGATAAAAGTGATCGGAAACGACAAACGTGATAACTCTTTTCCCCGCTCACAGACAATCTGAAATCACAGATAATATTTATATATTCTTCTTCATTCATTAATCTGCTTGTGGCGCAGCGTCTGAAATCTAATGTATAAAAAAAAGTTCTCACTGACGAAACTTTGTCGGGATCCGCTGCGGAATGCGATCGGGAAAAGACAACGAGATATTCGATTCATCATCGCGCATTTTAAATACGAAGGCCTGGTCGCAAGAATAGAGTGGATCCATTTTCTTAATGGTTTAAAAAAATTTGAAACAGACATTACAACCAGACATTGTGCATTGTAGCAGATAATAACAATTTTTATATGTAATTTTTACAAAAATTAATATATATATTATATGTAATATTGGGCAATGGACCCCAAAAAATAATTCTTTGAATTTTCCATTAAAAAAATGGATCCCTACCCAGTTCTCTCCGCGATCAGCTTTTCGATTATTATCAAAACGGTATAAAGACGCCTTAAGTATACGTGAATTTCGCTCGATTATATTCTAATATCACTATTGCAATTCAGCAAATTGCATAAAAAGACATCACTGCCGTCAATGCTAATTATAGCACGTGCCCTTTATCGAAATCGCGAATGTTTGCGTATGGAGCGTTTAGGGATTGCGAGCAACGAGAAAGCAACCTAATTTTGTTAATCACGTTTAACCCTTAAAAACCTAACAGGATACGTATTATGAGAGTTGAAAATATATAAACCTTGATTTATACGGCGGTCAATCGAAATTAACGCATTGCATATGTAACTTTTGTAGAAGAAACAAATAGAGTGTATTACATTTAATAAAGGCATTTAACAACATTGGATAGTAATATGTAAACTAAAATAATTTATTGCACAAAAAATTATGTGATTTATCATTGTGAATCTTCCATCAAAAATGCATTAACGTATTAAACGTTATTTACAATAGTATAAATATTGTAGTAGCGTAAATGAGTACTATAATAGCTTCGACTTATTATATAAAGAAGCTATAATAGCAAAAATGTTAGATTTTCATAAATAATTCGTTGGGTGCTTTTATATTATCTTTTCTCTATCTTTAATTATCTTTTATTTAATGGTGTGATTTAAACCATGTAGAATTGATACAATCAATCCTATATAAAATCGAGTGATAATGAATTACTAACTCAAAACTAAATTTAAAACTATATTGCTGCTTGATAAGAGCTAATTAGCTTCTGAAAATGATTCAGGCTATTAAGGGCTAGACGGTCATACAGATATGGCTACCCTGATTATCTGAACGATAAAATCTACGTGAATGAAACGAGTCTCGCTATCCCGGTCGCCGAAACGACAATGCGTCCTTATAATTCCGATGCTTCCGAGCGGATCAATTCTGCGCGATGACGAGCGTCAAGATTAAAAACATATTTTGCCGGAGAATAAAATCGGTGGCGGTAATATCGCGTCATAATACCGCTGTAATCTCCGCGTAAACCTTCGACAGAGCTCTCCGCATTATGCAAATCCTGAGGGAGCGTTGGTGATATCTGTCGTTGGTATTGTTGGTCCTGTTAAGTCTCAGAGGTTCCCAAACTTTTTTGGTTTACGATTCTTCAAAACTGATATTCTTTTCGCGTTTGCTCTGTGTGTTGAAATAAAGAAGCATGGATATGCGAAACATCTAATTGTTATTTGTCAAATATTCCACAAATAAAGTCAATCCTTGATCTCTCTCTCTCTCTCTCTCTCTCTCTTACGTTTGTTCATCTTTATTTATAAAACTCAAGCAGTCAACTACTTTTAACTTAACATTCTCGTATCATCTCTAAATCCTAATTGAAAAAAATATTCGAATATTTAATCATACTTAAAAAACCGCTGCTGATATAAAGACACGATACAATTTTCCGGAATTACCTTTCAAGTTTTTTAATTCATTGTAAAACATCTCGGATATGGAAGAAGACTTGCTTATCTCTTATTTTTACGTCTTTTCGGATAAAAACCGTATCTTTTCAAGGATGTCGTGACGTGCCGTTTGGAAACCTCTGCGTTAGTCAAAGCGATCGTTACCACGATAACGCGTGTACACCTAATTCTATCGCTAGTAGTTCTTATGATTATTACTGTTGCGGCTATTAAATACGTTTTGTCGAAGGTGTTTTCATAGACCTCGTGACTTATCTACCTATCGTTCGATGATAATCAAGCATCCAGTTGCACGCTTTCGATTGCACGCTTTCGATTGCGCGCTTTTATGATGTCGATTCGCGCGAGATATTGTTTCCTCTGACTATGTGCATAATTATTGTACGCGGTTTTGAAAAATGTTCCCGAACGAAGGAACATTCTGTTTCGCAGCGAAACATGTTCAAACTCGTCAAGGAAGGCTTGCGTGATCCGATCGGATTCGCCGATCGTGTCGGCGAATGATGCTTGTAGTAGCAGAATTCACATCTGCGTGAACATACTCGAACTCGATCGGATCCTGATCGCGATGCTAATCAGCATGCAAATATTACGTATGCGGCATGAGAAGCTGATTCTCGTGGGATAATCGCGCAAACGGCGTTTGGTTTTGGGTGTAAATCTGCAATTGCTTCTGTTGGGATTGTAGTTGCGCGAGCGCCGCGGGTGGCGCAAACGCCGGATAGGCCAAGGTGGTGGTTAGGCACTCGTTGTGCTCCTCTAAGGAGTTCTGGGCATAGTGCAGCACCAGATGTTTCAGGCTCTCGTGAATGTTATAAGGCTCGGCAAAACCATAGCCACGCTCAGTGCCGTATATTATGCAGTGTTGCACCGTGCCATTGCACCTGTAACATTGTGATTCTCGAGTAAGTCATCGTACAAACTACAAAGTCAACTTAATAATAAAATATAATCTTTAATATTGGATTCCGAATCATAAAAAGAATTTCATTGTTTTATCTATCGCGTGAGATGGTAAAATATCTGATAAATTGGTGATAAATTAATCTTTGTTTTAAACTGTTCTATTGTTATCCGTGTGTTATAATCGTGACATTTATAAACGTTTATTCTAATTTATTAAATTCGGAGTATGATCGTCATTTACGTTAGAAAAGAGACTTACACTATGGAGAGCGCGTACTGGCCCGTTCTTGATCGACGAACAAGGAAAGTACCGTCGGGTCGGCCCTTCAGAATATGATCAGCATCGGGACGAGAACCCTGTAGGTAGAGCCACGTTTTTTCGTCAGAATGGACCGCAAAGTCCATCTTGTTCTGTTTCATCCCGTTTTTCTTTAACCATCTGCATTTGAAACAAAATGCGAACAAGTTAGATAGTTTTCCAATAAATAAAGAAAAGAAATATTTGAAACCTTTAAAACAGAATACATACAAAGCATAGCGATCCCTTTGCCGCGCGAGTTGTCCAGTTTCCGACTTCAACCTGCACGTTTCTCTTTCAAGGGTTCTGTTGTAGGCAACTTGTTGGTTCGTGCTCTCCTGTAATTGATCTCTGCTGTCTTTTAAGGCCTTTAGTCTTCGTTTCAGCAACTCCGAATTATCCATTAAACTGTAATCATTTAGCGCAATGTTAATTAATAATGCGGATTCTATTGTTTTTGTCATGCGCGGAATCGGAATCTTATGAATATTATCATCATGTTTTTTATATACTGTATAATATGTTGTATATTATTTTGGTCAATATATTCTCAATACAATATGTAATACCTTAGGTTAAAATATATATATATTTTGCAAAGTGAAGAAAGAATAGAATACTCACGTGGAAATCTCGTGAGGCTGAGCCTCCTTCTGGAATCTCTCTTGTAACTTTATCTGTTCTTCAAACATCTTGATGGCTTCCTCAAAGGCTTCCAACGCCTGAATCTTTAGCCCAACTTCATTGGCTGTTCTGGTGTATAAGTCCCAACAATGGTGGTACTGCCGGATACCGTCATTTACTTCTTTCTCCAATTCAAGAAATTTTTGCAGGACTTTTGCCATGTCGGTCGTATTCGCGATTTCATCTTCCTGTTTTCCAACAAACAACAGAGAATTAGTTCAAATATGATTACAGTAAAGCTACCATTAAGTCGATCGGAAAGTTCGTGAAAATTACCTGCTGAAATCGCGATACAGGGTAGAGTAGCTTAATATCCAGCACGGAGTTGTACTGTGCGAGCGAGCAGTTCCTATAATAGTCGACCAGCTCGATGACCGAATGGAAATTATAAGGATCCGAGAATCCATATTTCCCATTTCGATGGCTGATCTTAATAAGTTTGTTGGTCCCGCCCTTACGTAGTGTCAGAGTATACTCGCCGCACTTGGAAGACGCATTGCGTACCAGAAAGGTGCCGTCCGGTGAATCAATCATCATCTCGTTCACATCATCCCTCGTGATGTCACCCCAATACCATTCGGCCTCTTGAAGCGTGCGCGGCCTGGAATTTTTTCAGTGTTAGTTATAATTATTCGTTATTTAACTGTGTAATTATATAATAAACCTTAAAAAACAATTTGTAAAAAGAATAAAACTAAAATTACAAATATAGCATTAAAGTAAATCGACAGAAAGATTCGAATTAAAATTCAATGTAGAATTGGAACTACAAACAAAAATTTGCAACCTAGATTAAGATTTGGACCAAAATCAAAATCAAACTTGAGAATCACCTGTGTGGTTGTTGGTCCTTGCCAGTATCTGCGCCAGGTGCCGTTCTGTCTACGGCATCGCCTTCTAGAATCGAGAGTTGGTCCAAAATTGGAAACTGCGGTCTCGAAACTTTACGCGGGGGCAATTGAGGGGGACTGGCAAACTCCGGTAGCTTCTCGTTCCAATCGCCATGCAACAACAGCAATTCCATTATGCGTATATGTGCCTCCGTGTTGTGGACAACTTGGCTGTAATAAAATATGCGCAATGCAATGTTTAAATTCTTTGTAATTAAGTATTACAGGTGGTCTTATTGAGTAATTTTATCTATTAATAGCAATGCGGTCGTGCCAAACCAGTCAATCTTTTTTCGTAATATAGTAGTATATTATAATCATTATATAATAGTATTATATATTTGAAAGTAACCAGTTATACAATCTATACACGACTTTTTTTACAAGAGAATTTAAACAACATACGATGCTAGCGAGTTAGAAAGTTCAATTCTTTTAACTTAATTAGTCTCAACAAGGCGGAAAAACTAATGCCAGCATCCTTGATGTTTTTTTAATCGTCGCCAATAAAAAAAGCATCATGTGAATCATGTTCTACTCCCAACCCTTCCACTGCAATCGAAGAAATTCACGTGGCACTCACATGATTCGCTCCCAGGGCGGCCTGAGAAATATGTGGCAGAGCACTTGCACGAGGATGGTTGGCGGTTCCGTGTAGCCCCTTCCGTGCTGCAACTGACAGATGCGACAAAAGTGCGCCATCAAATGGCATAATGTGCTACGATGATGTTCCGGTAGCTCGGATACTAATTGATTGAGGCGCGTCGCGCATTGCTCGTCACTTCTCATACCTAAGAAATAAAAACAAATTCAAGCATTTGCGATCAATGTTATTAGAATTATATCATAATAATTGATTGAGAAAAATATTTAAAAACTTTTAATTGCAGAACATATATATATATATATATATATATATATATATATATATATATATATATATATATATATATATATATATATATATATATATATATATATATATATATATATATATATATATATATATATATATATATATATATATATATATATATATATATATATATATATATATATATATATATATATATATATATATATATATATATAT